TAGAAATTTCCCTAGTTCATCTCATGCAGTCTAGTCATGTATTTTCCAATACAATTAAACTTTAAAAAAAAAACATACCATTTTTCATCCTAAGAGGGAAGAGTGTAAAATAATTTCAATAATCTCTTGACTAACACTACCTTCTTGGTGTCTACCAGTTAGTATCCAAATGCTCTAGCAAGCATATATTTAAAAGCACAAATCAGGAAACAGATTACCACAGCTGCTGAAGATGTGTAGACTTTTTAAATGCACATATACAAAAATCAGACTCCACAAACCAACACCATTTACACCAAAGAAATATTTGGTTGAGTTAAATGCAAAGAAGGCAATTCAGGAGACTGAGAAAAAAAAATCCAACTGACAATTTTGTTTTCTCCTATCTTTGCCACATGAAACATGCAGTAACTACCACTTATGATATCCAAATGATATAAAGAATTGTTATACAGCCATAGTGTTGTACGCATACATTAAAAGTCCTGGGCACATATCAAATGTAGAAAAATGTGAAGAATTGCTAAAATAGCCTGTAATTTTAAAATGACTTTTTAAATCTTCAACAATTAATCATGTTTTCATGCATGCTAATGTTCATATCTAAGACCATTCCTTTCCTTTGTTACTCACCTCCCAAAATAGTGCTCCATTATATAGTAAATTACAAATTTTAATTTAATACAAATTTTAAGTTCAAAAGTTAACTTGTGGGGCTGGGTTGTGGCTCAGGGGTGGAGTGTCTGCCTAGGACGTGTGAGGCACTGGGTTCGATCCTCAGCACCACATAAAAATAAATAAACAAAATAAAAGTATTGTGCCCATTGACAACTAAATATATATATATATATATATATATATATATATATATATTTAAAAAGTTAACTTACAGCATCAAAAAATGAAGTTTTCCATCTATTAAAAGAACCCTTCCTAAAAAAGAACCCAAAGCCAAAATGTGTGTGTGTATGTATGTGTGTGTGTGTGTGTATACACACACTACTTAGTGTTTACTACCTTCCCACACTCGACTGTGGGTAATATTAAACATGCAGAATATTAAGCATTACCAAACTGACCATGGCATATCTTCACATCTAACTCTATACTCCCAAAGGAACAGATCTGAGCTTGAACCTGCTCCCCTCAACCCAACTACCCTATTTTAATTCATAGGTTTTCAGGCAACCACAGAAGTTGATAAGGATATAAAGGAAAACAATAAAAAGGAAATACAGAATTTAATTTCATCAAAATCTTATCAGCAGACTTTAAAAAAAAAAAAACTAAATAAACTTCAAAGTTAACCAAACTCATAATTTGTTGGTTTAGTAGTTTAGCTACTGCCTCACGACAATAAAATAAATCTGATATGACAATCATCTACTTAAGTATTTGCATAGGAATAAAAAGTTGAAATGTGTAATCTGTCTTCCTTTAATATCTTTCTAAAACTGAAATATGAAACATACAAACAGACTAACATTACCAGATGACAAATGTTATTTTCCCTGAATGGGATAGAATTTTAATGTAATAATGATAAGAGAACATTTTACCAAACATAAAAATTAAATATTTTGTATTTTCTTCAGAACTTTGACATATATTCAAAAATACAACGGGGGGAATAAACCTGACAATACAAAATTGCAGAAAATAAGGCACTTACCTTAGACTTTAGTAGAAGTTCAAGAACACACTAATAGGAGTTTGAGGGTTTTAATTGCAATGAACTTTTATTACTAATGGGTAATGGTAAAAATATTCCTAAGAGAAAATAATAAAAATAGTATAAATATCAATTTCTAACTAGTTACAGCACCAGATCACTGAAGGGGGAATGATTTAAGTCATTTTCAATGAAAACACTCATTTTCATATTATTTTTTTAAAAAGGAAACCCGCTTTGCCCTCCCTGCCAGTCTCTGATACCTTCGAATACTACAGTTATTTCACAGTGGGAAGGAATGGGTAATAAGTACATTTCTTTTCCAATCAGTTTCTCTACCCAGTCATTAAACACCAAACACTGAAACTGAATTCAGCTACCTTGATCTTCTTACCAGGAATGCTCCCCATGGCACCCCAATCCCTTCCACTGTGTCTTACTCCAACTGCCAAAGCCCCTCCTATTAATAGTAAATCCCTTTCATACTGACTCACTGTAACTCCAAGTTGATGAAATAGACACCAAGCAGAATATTTAAACTTACAAATGGAATTTTCCTATTTTCAAAGAACTTAAAAGGAAACTAAAAGTAGAATACATTCAAACTAAGTTAAAGTTCAACTAATTTAAAAGAATTCATGTTGCTTGTTCTATACTGGTTCAGTTTAAATATTTTTTGAAAGTTCATATGCCAGGCATGTGAAATTACTTATACACAAGGCTGTTTCCCATGTAAATACCTGATACATAGATATAAATTTAAGTCATTACAAGATTGCAAAACCAACTTGGAAATTTTTCTCCAAAATTTTCCTTTAACTATGGAAATTTTCAAACACACAAAAATAGCATAAGAGTGACAATGAACTCTCCTGTACTCATCTAGCTACAATAATCAACTCAAGAGCATTTTTGTTTCATCTTTACCTCCTACCCACTCCCTCTCGTCTTTATTATCTTCAAAAAAAGAGAAAAAGAGGAATACAGTGTGCTCAATAAATACAGAGAAAAATCCCAAAGATAACAAGTATCAAATTAACAGTTTAAGAAGTCCAGAATCTAACAATGTAACTTGTACAGGCAGCCTACACAACTTCTAGATAAAATGATAAACTTCTTCTAAGAATTCGGTAAAAAAAAAAAAAAAGAAGAAGAACCATCTTCAACAATTTTAATGAGGTCCATAAAACTCCATGGATATATTGTAAATTATATCTGAAGAATAAGTAAGAATATATGATGAAAACAAACTTAAAACATTTACAATTAGGTTATATTCACATTGCACCTTAGCTCAAAACGAAAAAAAAACAGACTATTTAACATATTGTGTCATAAAATTACAATTCAACCACTTGAAAAACCGCTGAACACTTAAACGCCTTAACTGGTCCTTCTGATTCCTAATTATAGATTGATATCAATGTAGCAAGAAAACCAGGCATTTTAACCTAAGTGGTTTAAAATGTTCAAAATTAACCCCACTGTTCATTGGAAAACACATGAAAGCAAGTCTAAACTACCTGAATTGCATGTCATTAAACAGAAATGTATCCACTTTCCAGGGCCGGTGTTTTTTTTTTTTTTTTTTAAATAAGTTCACATATACCCTTAAACGCAACGCGCTAGGCTACAGACAGAATTAGGAGACCGCCTCCTGCTTTTGCTCCTAACCAATACGCAGAGAGAGAAGGTTGGCAGGAAAGTGCTGCGAGGACAGTAACAAACACCAGCAGCTCCCGAGCAGGCCCTGCTAGAGCCAGGAATGACGCACTTCGGTAACCCGACTCTTTTCTCCCCTCCACCCCCCGCCCCCAGCAGCGGTGCTGACACCGCCAACAGCCCGGAGTAGGAAAAAAGACAACAGAAAAAAGGCAGAGCTTGGACCGCACCAGGTTTCATCAAGAAACCTCGATTATTCCTCTTTCGACACTAACCACTAGGACTAAACAGGAAAAGAAGCTTCGTGCTTAAGCAAGTCCCATCATGGTGGTTTAAGAGTCACTAAATTAAGCTGATAATGAGTCCAATCCACAGAGACAAATACAGGGTGTGGCTGCTGTGAAATACGGCGGTCCGTGGGAGAAAAGGGGTATGGAATTTACACTCCAGTGTGAAGGGAAGATTGGGGCTTTACGGGGGGCGGGGGGAAGCGGCCCGCGCATTTTAAGGAACCATTGCAAACCAACACAAGCTCCTCGTTTACTTAAACCTAACCCTACAGATCAAAAGTTTCTAACAGATATACCCTGTAAGCTGTAAATAACCATTTAACCAAAAACCATGACCCTCAATTTCAAAACTACATCCAAGAGAAAGGAGGAGGGAGAGGGAAGGTGGGGGGTGGTAGGCAACAACATAAAAAACATTCTAGGCCACGGAGGAGAAAGTCTCACAGACCGGATGAAACTACTAATGCAATATTAAAAATTAACGCTGAACACTAAAACCCGAAAAATCACACGATAACCCATTACACTTAAGGATTAAAAATAAAATGACATATACACCGAGAAGAAGCGGAAACTAAATGTCGAAAGTACAGCGGTTTATAAAAAACTAAAGGCAAAACAAGACATTCTCGCGACGGGAGGGGGAAAAAAAGGCCGAAATCAACAATACGTTTACGATTCTAGGCCAGAAGAAAATGGGAACGGGGCTCAAAGTTTTGCGGAACTACTTGATGCTGTTTCCCACACCTTCTCTCGCCCATGGCCCATCCGACCCTTTTCGTCCTAAAATTGCCTTCCACAGATCTCCGGATACGTGATAGAAGAAAAAAGAAAGTCGCCCTCAAGCAAGAATAAAAGTGTGGAGGGAAAAAGCATAGGCTGCCTACCTGGGGCAAGGATCAGCTCAGTTCGTGCCTTGAGAAAGACAGTGCGGGTGGGGGTGGGAATGAAAAGCAGCACTAAAACTAAAACAAAAGTGGCGCCAAAACCCCCCAACAAACAGCCTTCCACTCCCGCCCTTCCCCCCTCCGCCCATGCCAGGCAGGCAGGGCCCCCTTCGGGGCAAGGTCTGCGCGCGGGGGCCAACGCCGCCAGACCCCAGCCTATTTATAAAATTGTTGCCCTAAGAAAACTGACCGAACTCGGGCCTCGGAAGGGATGGAGAGATCGATGCCAACCGCTTTCCCAAGCAGTTCCCCCACCACGCGCTGGAGATGATGGGGCGGGGGAGCAGCAGAGGGGCCCGTCACATGAATGTTGTTCCCTCTCTAGGAAGGGAGGAAGAGAGGGAGGGAGGGGAGGGGAGGGAGGAAGGGAAGGAGGGGAAGGGAGAAGGGAGGGGGCACGAGGGAGGGGTGTGATCAGAGTAGATTTTCCCTCGCCTCCCTCGGTCCGAGGCCCAAATATACACAACTGAGCCTCCTCTTTCTCCCCTCCCCCCTAGTTCCCAGCACCACCATTTTGCTCTCTTCCTTCCCCTCTCCACGATACCGCGCTCTCCCCCACCCCAGTTACAGCCTCCCCAGCTTGCCTCCCCCGACTAAGGCTCGCACCCCACCCCACCTCCAGTTTTGGGTCTCCTAGGCTTAAGAGCCTGCCGGAGAAAAGGAACCTAAATCTAATGCTACACAGAGAAGCGGAGCCTCCATCTTGCGCTGCTCCGCGTTCTCCATTTTGGGCCACCCATGGGGGGGTCCTCCGTAGAGGCCCCGAGGGAGAGTTGGGCGAGGGAAGGAAGAGAAAATCTTCAGCGAGGGTAGTCGGAAAGAAGAGTCCTGCGGTAGAAAGCGACTCTAGGAGTAGGAGGTAGGGAGGAAGCGGGGCTGGAAGTTCCTTGGAAGTGTTGGGGTGCCGACTTGGTAGAAAGGAGGGCTGGGGGTGATGCGGGGGCGAGGAAGATTCTCCCCGCCTGGACTTAAACACTCACTCCATGGCTGGCCCCCCATGGGGGCAAAGGAAGCGGAGAGGGAAATTAAATGGCAACAGAGTGCCCAGCCTCTTTTCCCTCCCAACTCCTGTCGGTCGCCCTGTTTCAACCATACACACCTCACGGTGGGCCCCGCGCCCTCCGGGTGCCCCTCCAAACTTCTAGAAGCTTCGCCTCCGCCATTTTATAACTTACCTCCCCCCTCAGCGTACACAGAGGCAGCAACGAGACTGTTCGCCTCCCCCACTCCTTCCTTCTTTCTCAGGCCGGGGGCTTCTTCACCCCTGGGCTGGTACAAGATTTTTTCCCCTTCCTCTTCTTTACACCCTCGAATTCTACTCAGGGACGGAAGCTCCCGCGGTTCTAGAGCGGTGGGGGGTTTTGAAAGTGGCGGTCGGATCCGGCGGGTTTTTTTTTCTTTTTTTTTTTCTTTTTTTTTTTTTTTTTTTTTTTTTTTTGGTGGCGCTTCGGGATTGTTTGGGGTGTTCGCTCTTCGGCGACTTGGAGGCGAATGGAACGCGCAGGCGCCATCTGTCGGCCACCAACACGCGCCCGGCTCCTGTTGTGAGGGAGCAGCATCTAGCGGCCGAGAGCTGCCACTGCAATACTTGGCTTCTGGCCCTCCCACCCAGAGTCCTCCTCCCAATCACCAACCAATCGTGGCCGACTGACTCCCGGGTTCAGCGTCTCCGACGCCTTCTGTAAACCAGGCGCCCGCTGGGGCGCGCCGCCGAGTGGGGTAAACAAGGTGCCGTGCCCGCGCCTGACTTACTCATTCGTTTGGACGTGCTTCCACCAGGGATTCGGTGGCACCAGGGTTCCTCTGTCTTTCCTGGGGGGGAGGGGAAGGTGTGTAGTGGAGGGCGTTAGGAACGTCCGGCAGAGCCCCTGGCCGTGGGAATTCAAAGGCTGGGCTCACTCGGGGACTCTTTGCCCTGGCTCTTCCGCCCCTCGCGCAGCCCCAAGGTGGCAGCCCAGTAGGACATCACCCTTAAAGTCCCCTCCTCTGACTGTCCGCAGCAAAGGAACTGATGAGGCCCTAGTTCCAGGACTCTCGCTTCACTCTGTTCCGTACTTCCCACGAGAAGAACCCAACTCGATGAACTCTGGCACCTGATCCTAAGTGATTTAACGGGCTTGAGTTTTTTGTTGCGTTTTGTTTCGAGTGTGGAGAAAATGGAAGCTGATCTCTTAACAGAAGGACCTAGTACTGGAAAAGAAAAAAAAAAATTTTTTTTCTTTGCAACTCTCTGTTCCAAGACGTGGTCTCTATCTCCAGGATCTAGGAGACTTAAGGGAACTGGGCTACTAGGCTAGGCCAGGCGCTTCACAAATTTCTTCGCCACTCTGGGGGCGGAAGAGGAAAGACGGGACCGAGCGAAGTGAAGAAAATGGAAATGTCGGGGAAAGGAGTCTTGGGGTACCTACCGGTCTTCCCCGCCTCCCCCGCGCGTCCACTGCCTTCCTGGAAACGTGGGCGGCCTCCAGACAGTGTTAGGAATTTAGGTTCCTTATCCTGCCTCCCAATCATCCCCGCAATACAAATGAAGTATGAAACCACTCCTTCCATTCCTTCCACCACCACCCATTAATTCAAGTCTTTATCACCCTTGTTTTCTGTTATTATTTATTCAAAACCAGCGTACAGGACCTTTGACTGCCAAGCGCTCTCTACACGCGGGAGAAAAACTCGGGGAGGGGGCCTATCTCTTGGAAGCGCCTAGGACCGAAAGAAGTGACCTCTTAACAGTGTCTCTGTTACTATTATAGCAACTCCTATACTGATAAAGTAGAATTTGGTTAAAGACTCTTAGTTTCTGTTTCTTTTTTTAATATTTCAATTTCAAGAAAACGTATTTAATAACAGAAATCGTGTGAGCTCTGTGTGAGTTATGCAGATTTCACCCTATATCAAATCTAAAGCATTCCTAATGCAGTATAATGATTAGTTTCAGTCCTTAAATTATATTCCTTCCACGTCTGTGTCTTAGTTTCTTTCTCATCTGCTGTGCTCATTGGCTTTTTCCTGCAACTTTAAAAAAAAGAATTATGGTATATTTAATCAACTGAACAATAAAAGTTAAACAGAAACATCTAAATATCAATAACAAGAAATAAAACCTGAGACATTTTTACTTACCTCTAAAACTATGAAAACTGGAATACTATTCAAAATAAATTTCCATTTCTTTTATAGACTATCTTTGGTAGAATACAAAAAGATACAGTTTTTAATAGATGCAAGTTACAGAATGATGCAGCTAGAACATTAAATAAGGAGTAGTGGAAATTTTGCAGTTATATAAGTTAATGCAAAATTCCACTTGAAGTAATAGGAAAATTGGGCTGTGTACCAAATCGTTTTACATTAATTTAGTTCAATTGTGCCAATTTACTATCAAGTGATATTAATGATTTCCTGGGTTTTTTTTTTTTTTTCTGTTTTAGTATTAGCTAAAAACTACCGATTTCCTGCTCCAAACAATACATGGTACAGTTTTTCATCAATTTTGTAAATTTATGTTGTCAAGTTCATGGTGTAACAACTGACTTTAAAACAATTTTGCCCTCTGAACAAAATTGAAAAGTTCTTGTTAACTTGTTTTTATTTTGTAAAAAATACCACTGAAAGTTAATAATTTTAACTAATATAACCCGAAATTATTCTTGTAGCAAGTTTATACTGACATTTAAAAATGTTTCACAGTAGCTCCTCTTTTCTTTTTGCTAAAGCTCATTCAATAAAATATTTATGGTGCCTTCAATATGTGCAGTTCACAATGCTATATGTCCCAGTCCTATCCTAAGAAATGGTGTTTATTTTTTAAGATACTGAAAGACTAAAGGCATTCACTCTTCAAAATTGAGGACAAAGTTTTTAAAAATGACATTAAATGAAATATATTACAGTTTAAAAACAACCTGAATCTTAATTATCTGTACATCCAGTTGCTGGGAAGGCCAAGACATAGGATCACAAGATCCAGACCAGCCTCAGCAACTTAGCAAGGCCCTAAAGAACATACCCTAGACCCTGTCTCAAAATAAAAAGGGCTGGAGATGTGTCTCACTGGTACTGTGCCCTGAGTTCAATCCCTACTGCTGGGGGTGGAGTCAGGGACTAGAAAAAATTTTTATCTTAGAACAGTAAAACATAACTGACTTAATAATGCCAATCCTAGGAATATATCTTACAGATATATGTTCATGCTAATTGCACAGATATATATATATACTATATAAAGATTTTATTATAACTTTATAATGGAAAATTACAATAGAAATGGCCACCATTAGGGGTCGGTTAAAGAAATTGTGTTGTATCACAAAAGTGACTCCTATGCCCTCCATTAAAACAAATGTAGGCTCGGAGTTTAACTCATTGGTAGAGCACTTGACTAACATGCAAAGCCCTAGGTTTGATCCCCAGCACCTCCAAAAACAAAAGTTAAAAACGTATATGTATTTAATGATATATAAATATATATGTGAAAAAACAATTTGCAAATAGCTTGTATAATAGATCTCATTTGTTAATATATGAGTGATTTGTTGGTTCCTTTTAATTATACATGACAAAAGAATTCATTTTGACATAATTATAAAAGCATGGAGTATAATTTGTTCTAATTCAATCCCTAGTACTCCCCCTTCACCTCTCTTCTACCCCCTGTTTCCTTGCCAGTACTCTACTGATCTTTCTGCTATTTACTTATAGTTGTTTTTTTTTTTTTAATTAGTGTCTTGTGGATATACATGGTGGTGAGATTCACTGTGGTATATTCATATATGTACATAGGTCAGATTCATTCCACTGTCTTTTTTTCTTTCTGCTGAGGTTTAACTCAGAGCTTCACACAAGCTAGGCAAGAGTTCTACCACTGAGAAATATCCCCAAACCTTCAACAAATATTTTTTTAGTATCTGCTCTATTTCAGGCTTTATTCTGAGTACTGGGGACACAACAGTGAACTATACAGATATTACCCCTAGCAGAGTTCACAGTTATGAGTGATGAAATGCATAAAATATTCTTTTTTTAATGTATTCTTTTTAATGAGAGAGAGAGATTTTTTTTCAATATTTATTTTTTAATTCTCGGCAGACACAACATCTTTGTTTGTATTGTTACTTATGTAAATTTGAAATTTTGGACTAGGCATGTAGCTCAATGATACAGCACTTGCCAAGTGTGGAGGAAGCCCTGGGTTCAGTCCTTAGCACCACATACACACACACACACAAGTTTTAAAATCTCATACCGGTTGCTCTAGAAAACAGTTTGGTACTTTCTTATAAAGTTAAATATATACTTAATATATGACCTAGCAAGCTTACTCCTAAGCACTTATCCTAGAAAAATGAAATTTTGTGTTTGCACAAATGCTAATAAAAGTTTTATCTGTGATAGCCAGAAACAAGAAACAACACAGATGCCCATCAATTGGTAAATAGTTAAAGTGTGGTATATTCATAGAGGGGAATGCTACTCAGCAATAAAAAGGATTTTTTTTTCTTTTTTAGTACTGGGGATTGAACCCAGGGGCACTTTACCGGTGAGCCACATCCCCAGCCCTATTTATTTATTTATTTAGAGACAGGATCTCCATAAGTTGCTAAGTCTGGCCTTGAACTTGTGATAATTCTGTCTCAGCCTCATGAGTTATTGGGATTTACAAACATGTGCCACCACACCTGGAGTAAAAAGGACTTATTAATACACACAAAAACTTGATTGACCCTGGAAGGCATTATGCCTCATAAAAACAAAAAAGCCAATCTCAATGCATTATATACTATGATCCCAGTGTATAATACTCTCAAACTGACAAAATGATAGTTGGGGAGAACAGGTCATTGGTTGAAAAGGATTAAAGTTGGAGAAAGCATATGATTATTAAGGGGTAACAAAAGAGAGTTTCTCTGAAGTGATTGAACAATTGTGCATCCTGACTGTGGTGATGAGTACTCAAATCTACACATGTAATAAAATATCATAGAACTACACATATGCACTTAAGTTCATGAAAAATGGTGAAACTCTGGACTGAGGTGTGGCTCAGTGGCAGAGTGCTTGTCTAGCACGAGTGAAGCACTGGGTTTGATCCTCAGCACCACATAACTAAAAAATGAAGACATTCTGTCCATCTACAACCACAAAAAATAATTAAAAATGGTGAAGAACCTAATAATATCTGTATTTTAGTTGATAGTATTGTATTAAATGTTGATTTCCTAGGTTTCACAATGCACTTTTATGGATACTATTATCATTGGGAAAAGTTGATGAAGAATACATGGACATTCTCTGTACTGTATTTGCAACTTTGTGAGTCCTAAACTGTTACAAAACAAAAAGTGGTAATAAAAAAATGCAGGCAGGTATAGTAATCCATGCCTGTATCCCAGCTACCCTGGAGGCTGAGCAGGAGAATCAAAAATACAAGGCCAGCCACAGCAATTTAGCCAGACTCTCAGCAACCTATCAAAACCCTGTCTCAGAATTAAAAAAAAAAAGACTGGGGATGTAGCTAATGGTAAAATACCCCTGAGTTCAATCCCCAATACAAAAATAAATAAAATTTGAGCCAGGTACAATGGCAATCACCTATAATACCAGCTACTTGGGAGACTGAAGCAAGAGTTGAGGAGCACCCCTGGGCTCAATCCCCATGACTACCCAAGTACAAAAAAAAGGGGGGGGAATGTCAGCTGGACTCAGTGATGTATACCTACAGTCCCAGCTACTCATAGGCTTGATCCCCAGAGTTTGAGAGCAGCCTAGGCAATGTAGAAAGACCCAGTCTAAAAAAAAATGGGTAAAAAAAATCTCTGATTTGTGAAAATATAATTAAATTACTCTGTCATACTGTAATTTGTTTGTTTGTTTTTTGTTTTTGGTATTGAGCTTTGAACCTTGGGGTATGCTACATTCCCCAGCCTCTCTCTTTTTTTTTTTTTTTTTTTTGGAGGTGGGGTCTAGTTCTATTGCCCAGGCTTGCCTGGAACTTGTTATCTTCCTGCCTTACACTTCTGAGTAGCTAGCATTATAGGAGTGCACCAATGTGCCCAGCCGTCGATTGAAAAGTAATACATTGAATCTCTAGTTTACAAATCACTTTTTTGTGAACTAGGATATATTGACTTAATTTCCAAGATTCCTATCATCATCTTTATATGAGCTTATATGATTAAAAGCCTGATACTACAATACTCAGGAGTAGACCTTGGACCTGTGGTATCAACAGGAAATAGACATACCAATAAGCCTTGTCTAAAACAAATAACTAGCACCTTTTAAGACATTTTAAATACCATATTACTGGATTCATTGAATTTTTCTTTTTATTTTGAATAGTATGCAATATTTTAACTTTTAATTTCATCTAACTTTAATTAATTAAAAGCTATGAGTTAAAAGAACTGAAGGTATATCTACATACTAAAGATTCAATATCTCTTATATCCAAACCCTCCCACTTCTCATCTGAGCTAACAGTAATAGTCCCGTGTCCAGCTTCTTTCCTGGTCAATCCAATACTGATTAGATTACTAGCTTACTTTGTGCTTACTTGCTTGTTCCCTGATTCACTTTCTCACTCACTTACATACATTTTTATTGATTCACTGGGTCTACAACCATCCTCTGCTACCTTTGATGTGCATAAGAATCACCTGGGGATCTTGCTAAAATGTAAATTCGGATTGAATAAGTCTGAATCTAGGGTGGGACCTGATTCTTCATTTCTAACAAACTTCCAGGACATACCTGTGCTGCTGGTCTAAAGTCCACACTGAGTATTAAGGACCCAAAGAACCAAGTATAAACTCTTTTTTAGGGTGGGCTACCTGGGATTGAATTCAGGGGCACTCAACCACTGAGCCACATTTCCAGCTCTATTTTGTATTTTTTTAGAGACAGGGTCTGAATGAGTTGGTTAGGGCCTTGCTAAGTTACTGAGGCTGGCTTTGAACTCACAGTCCTCCTGCCTGAGCCTCCTGAACCGCTGGGATTACAGGCCTATGACACAGTACCAGCCAAAGTATAAACTCTTTAGGAGAGTTCTCAATACCTTCCACTCTTTTATCCCAATTTCATCACTCATAACTGTGAACTATGTATATAATATATGTATAGTTCACGGTTATGTCCCCAGTGCTTAGTATAGAGTCTGAAATAGAGTAGACACTCAAAAATATTTGTTGAGGGGTTGGGGATATTTCTCAGTGGTAGAACACTTGCCTAGACTGTGTAAGGCTCTGGGTTAAATCCCAGCAGCAAACTGTGTGTGTGTGTGTGTGTGTGTGTGTGTAGCCAGATGACTCTTTAGAAAAGACAGACCACTGTCACTGTGTTGTGTGTGTGATGGTGCTGGGAATGAAACCCAGGACTTAGCACATGGTAGGTAAATGCTCTACCACTGAGCTACATATCCGTTCCTATTTCATACAGTCCAAGCAAACTAAATCACTTGGTGTTTTCCAAGAACTCTCCTACCCCTATCTTTACTTGCACTGTTTCTCTCCTTTTCCTACATTTCCCCCATTCAAATTTTCTCCATCCTCAAATGCCCAGTTTAAATGAGAATATCTCCAAAAAGCCTTTCCTGCTGTCCCCATATGGAAATAATCTCTCACAATTTGGAAATCTTGTCCCTACCAGATGTTGAATGCCTTGAAAATAATACAATGTGTTTTGGTTTTTGTTTTTCAGTTTGTGGTGCTGGAGATGGAACCCAAGGTGTCACACATACCAGGAAAATGCTCTATCACTGAACCACAGACCCAGCCCAATGCCTTGCAAATAATAATCGTGTTTTGTTCACATTTGTTATAACCAAACAAATGTTAGCATATAGTAGAAAATCAATAAATATTTATTGAATTGAAATGAAGAATAAATAATTATCTGGATCAGCATTATTAGAACTTTTTGCAATAATGGCAATTTCTACAACCTGTATTGTTCAGTATGGTAGTCACATGTAGCTACTGAGCACTTAAAATTTATCTACTGCAAATGAGGAGTGGATTTTTTTTTCAAAGACAGAGCGAGAAAGAGAGGGGGAGAGAGAGAGAGAGAGAGAATTTTAATATTTATTTTTTAGTTTTCGGCGGACACAACATCTTTGTATGTGGTGCTGAGGATCGAACCCGGGCCGCACGCATGCCAGGTGAGCGCGCTACCACTTGAGCCACATCCCCAGCCCCAAGGAGTGGATTTTTAATTTCATTTAACTTTAATTAAAAGTTAAATGTACACCAGGTATGGCAGTGCACACCTATAATCCCAGGAACTGAGGAGGTTGAGACAGGATGAAGCCTCGGTCACTTAGTGTGACTCATATCAAAATTAAAAAGATAAAAAGGTCTGGGGATATTGCTCATTGATAAAATGCTTGCCTAGCATGTGAGAGGCCCTGGGTTCAATCTTCAGTACTGTCAAGAAAAAAAAAAAAAGCCTAAATGTAAATAGCCATATGTGGCTAGTAGCTACTGCATAAACAATGACTATTTACATGATTTTGGTTACAATTGTTCTTCATTTACAGGAGGAGGTGGTGCACACAAATAATCCTAGTGACTAGGGAGGCAGAGTCTGGATGATTACAAACCCAAGTCCAATCTGGACAATAAGACTGTCTCAAAATAAAAAAGGCTGGGGATGTAGTTCAGCAATAGAATGTCCCTGAGTTTGATTCCCAGTGCAAAAAAAAAAAAAAAAAACTGTTCTTTAGTTGGGCATGGTGGCCCACACCTATAATCCCAGCAACTCTGGAGGTTGAGGCAAGATCTCAGGTTTGAGGCCAGCCTCAGCAATTTAGCAAGGCCCTCAGCAATTTAGCCAAACCCTGTCTCAAAATAAAAAAATAAAGAAGGGCTGGGGGTATAGCTCAATGGTAAAACACCATTGGATTCAATTTCCAGTACCAAAACCAAAAAACAATTGTTCTTCATTTAATGGTATTTACTGAGTACGCCCTATGGTCAGACTTACAATACTCCTGGAGCTGTTGATAGAAAGAAGTATAATTCATGGTCCTTGACCTCAGAGAGCTTACAGACTATTAAAAAAAGATAGCAAGGCAGCGACTCAGGAGACTGAGGCAGGAGGATCAGAAGTTCAAAGCCAGCCTCAGCAATTTAGCGGGGTCCTAAGCAACTTATCAGGACACTGTCCCAAAAAAATAAAAATAAAAAGGGCTGGGGATGTGGTTCAGTGGTTAAGCACCCCTGGGTTCAATCTCTGGTACTAAAAAAAAAGGTAAGATCAAATAAATCCAATCAAATGTTATAGGTGCTGTTATAGAAGATTAACAAAGTAGGAGGTATGCACAAAGTGAAATGTGGGCAAGAATCTGTAAAGGAAGAACATAGTGTTCTTTAGATAAACAAAAGAAGACACTTTGCCCAGAGGGGAGTGTGAACAAAAGCATGTAAAGTCAAAACACAGAGCCCCTTTCTTTCTGGAACTACAAGCATTGTAGTTCATTTGGCTATCACTTAGGGAGTGAAGGGCAAGGAGCACAATGAAAAGAATTGGAGGAGGTCTGGGAATGTAGCTCAATGGTAGAGCATTTGCCTAGCATGTGTGAGGTCCTGGGTTCAACCCTTGGTACTGGGGGAAGAAAAACTGGAGGCATTTATGCTGGTGATACAAGCAGAAACTCAATCACTTAAGCTGGGAAGAAGTTTGGTATGCTGTAAATGGTGGAGAGCTGTGGAAATGGCAGACAGATTCACGTTATTTTAGGATAACATCTCTGGGTGATGGGGCTTCAACTAAGTCACAATGAGAATGTATATATAGGCTTCTTAACCTAAAACATGATGAAAATTATGGTCAGGCTGAATGAGGAAGATCACAAATTCCAAGCCAGACTCAGTAGCCTTGTCTAAAAACAAAAGAGCCACACATGGGGGCACATGCCTGTATTCCTAGAGGAAGGATACCAAGTTGGAGGACAGTGCTCAGCAACTTAGTGAGACCCTATCTCAAAGCAAAAAGTCTGGGGATGTTGCTCAGTGGTAAAGTGTCCCTGAGTTCATTCCCCAGTATTGCAAAAAATAAATAAATAAATAAACTGAGAATTATGTATAGCTCAGTAGTAGTGCATTTACCCAGCATGTGCAAGGCTTTGGGTTCCATCCCCAGCACTGTGGGGAGAGAGAATTACAGTGAACATCTTTGTTTTGTCTTTATTTGAAAATCCATTCAGTTATCTTTGTGAGTGTGTGTGGGTGTGCACATACAGTAGAGGCACATCTTTCACTAAATGGCCACATCTCCATAGATGCATATTCAAAACTTGTGTATATCTGAACATTTCAAGGAAAAAAAAACTACCTCCTGCCTAAATTGTTTGAAAAATACTAGCCATAATAATTGGTTCCTGTCAACAGCTAATTCTTGCACCACTTAATGCTGGCACTGGTTCTATTTATCTGTGTTAAGTAGTTAAACATGTCATGGGGTTTGTTTGTGTAGACAGATGACATTTGCATTATTTTTTGAGTGTCACCCTTTAATAAACAACAACAAAGAATTATTATCAAGGCCTAGGCAGACCTATCAACTCAGACTTACAAACTATTTTTAAAGTACTATTGTGATTCAGGATTTTTCAGTATGTTCAGGAAACATTTATCACTTTAGAGCCATACACATTTAATGATTATATTATTCTTCATTTTGTTTGTTTCCATTGTGGAACTGTTACTGGGTATTTGTTTTTTTTATAGAAATAGCAATCAGTTTTGGAAGCAAAAGCATTGCTGTTAGCAGAATAATAGACCATCTCCACCCCCAAAAAACAAACATTTTTGGCTATTTCCCAATATTGCTGAGAGGAATTTGGTTAAAATTCACATTGCCCAGAACTTCCAGTAAGACCCTCTTTGTGTGGAGGGTGGGTGCTAGGGATTGAACCCAGGGGCGCACTACAACTGCGCACTACACCTGGCCCTTTTTATTTTTATTTTCAGATAAAGTTGCTGAGGCTGGCTTTAAACTTGAAATCCTCCTGCCTTAGCCTCCCAAGTCACTGGGATTACAGGTATGCACCATAGCACCCAGCCAAGACCCTCTTTTATTGATATAAGTTTATAAGCTTCTAAAGCCAAGTACAAATTAATAAGAGACACTAAGTAACAACAAAGACTACTATTTGACTTTAAGTGCAGTATGTGTTACTAGTTAACTACCAACACTAACTAAAATTCAAACACTAGAGTCACTGTCAGCATTTGATGTTTATTATTGGTGGCAAGTTTTCTGTTATATGCTAATAGCACTTCTAATGTTAGACACTAGAAATTAATGTTAGAACTGCTTGTGGAAAGATTAAGAGGTGTGAAGAGAGGACAAGTAGATATTTGCAAAGTAGAAGAAGGCTAGAAACTTCCGAGAAAATACATTTTATCCTCAAAATATAGACAATGCTGGATTAAATTCTGAACCTTTTTTTTTTTTTTTTGTACCAGGGATTGAACTCAGGGGCATTCAACCACAAGGCAACATCCCCAGCCCTATTTTGTATTTTATTTAGAGACAGGGTCTCACCAAGTTGCTTAGCACCTTGGCATTGCTGAGACTGGCTTTGAACTCGTGACCCTCCTGCCTCAGCCTCCCAATAGCCACTGGTATTACAAGCATACACCACTGGCATGCACGGCCGTTTTTGTTTTTGTCTTTGTTTTTGTTTTGGTAGTTGTAGATGTACAGCATGCCTTTATTTTATTTATTTATTTTTATGTAACCTTGAGGATTGAACCCAGTGCCTCACACACTAGGGAAGCGCTCTGCCCCAAGCTACAGCCCCAGCTCAAATCTTTATTTAAAGCTATACGGAACACTACTTGGACAATTGGCAAAAGTTAAATAAGATCTAGTAGTTTTTGATTATTGTGGTTATATAGGCCAATGTCTTTGGGTCTTTTGTTTGTTTTTATGGTACAGGGAATAAGTCCAGGGGCACTCTCCCACTGAGCTACATCCCCAGTCCTTTTTATTTATTTACTTTTTTTAAAATTGGAGACAGGATTTCACTGTTACTGAGGGTCTCTTTATGATTACGATGTTGAGACTTACCTCTAATTTGCAATCTTCGTGTCTCAGCTTTCTGAGTCTCTGGGATTACAGGCATGTACCACCCTGCCTGGCATCCCCAGCCTTTTTTTTTTTTTTTTTTTTTTTAGTTCTGGGGATTGAACACAGTAGCACTTAACCACTGAGCCACATTCCCACATCCCCAGCCATTTCTTATATTTTATCTAGAGACAGGGTCTCACCAAGTTGCTTAGGGCCTCGCTAAATTGCAGAGACTGGTTTTGTATTTGTGATCCTCCTGCCTCAGCCTCCCAAGCCGCTGGGATTACAAGGCATGCGCCACCATGCCCAGTTATTTTTTATTTTGAGACAAGGTCTCACTAAGTTGCCCAGGCTGGACTAAAATTTACAATCTGATCATCCTGTCTCACTTTCCCAAGCAACTGGGATTACAAATGTGTGCTGGTGCACCCATACAGTGTCTTTATTCTTAAGAAACATACTGAACCAGGCAAGGTGGCATACACCTGTAATCCCAGCTACTCAGGAGACTGATGTAGGAAGATTGCTTGAGCCCGAGAGTACCAGACCAGCCTGGGCAACATATGGAGACCCTGTCTCAGAAAAGAAGGAAGAAGAGGAAAAAAAGAAAGAAATACAGATATTTAGAAGTAAAAGTGGCATTGTGTCTGCAATTTACTCTCAAATGGTTCAGAAAGAAGATAACAAATATATTCTTCATGAATGAATACCTTACATACTACACTGGTGTGCTAGAGCCTGCTAGCACCATCTCACAAGAACTAATTGTGCACTTATCTTCCCAACTCTGGTTCAGTGATCCCACATTAATAACTTAAAATCAGCCATT